TAGTAATTATAATAACAACAATAATAATAACAGTAGCAATAGGGCGGTTCAGCTTCTGTAGACAAAAAGTCAACCAATTTCAGAGGCACTTTGATATTTATGTTTCTTTTGACCTATAAAACAAAACTATGAAATATTATTGAAATCAGAAAATATTTAGAACTGCCTCATGGGACTTATAGTTTGCAGATTTTTTATTTTCAGGCTTTATTTTTAAAATATTTACTTTTGTACCTATTTACAAGAGGTAATTAGTAATTACTATTATTACCTGCAAGGAGTTTGTATTTAGTATTTATTTACTTACTTATTAGTTACCAAAGATCATAGATCACAAATAAAAACAAAACAAACAAAATGGTAGAATCTTGACTGTAGATAGCTATGTTGAAACAAATTTAAAATAAATGAAATAATGCAAAACATTTTTTATTTACTTACTTATAGTTACTAAAGATTAGATTTTGGAACTAATGTAAACAGTAGCATAGTTACCTAGGAGCTACGCAGGACAGTGCCCCAAGGCCCTCAAGTTCAGGGGGCTCTCAAATCCTTACCAGAAATCTGTGTAAGAAAATTGCGTCAATCGCTTTAAAATAATGGTTTAACCTTTATATAATAAACCCTTGAATTTTTTAATTTGCCCCAGGGCCCTTGGTTACCTAGCTACACCACTAAATGTAAACCAAGTGGTGGTTGGCAGACAGCAATAATGGCTGAAACAAGATCAAAAACTTACATTTATTTACATGGGGAACCAGAACCACATTTTAGTGGCAGATTTTTGCCCACAAGTTTGGAAGTTTTAAGAATATATTTTTTCCATCATAAAAAGAACAGTCAAACTCAAAAAGATGCCATAAAAACTGTAGTCCAGCAGTTGTGTGAGATCTGGGCCCAAGCTAGAAATCTAACTGCTGAACATAGAAGTATTGTTCATAAAACTGAAAAAACTTTATTGGAAATATACAGAAAAATTTTAAAGAACAAGAGTCATGGCGGGCTAGCACAGCAGGTAAAAAAAGAAGATTTTTTGAACTCAGTAAATTGTCTTTTTGATATTGCTCATCAGGATGTATTGAAGCTGATAAAAATAGAAGAAGATCAAACATTTCTTGCAGACCAACATTCAGAAAGAAATATGCCATGGAAGGTGTAGATAGAATTTTGGCAAAAAAAGAAGAAAGTAAAGAATCAAGAATGCAAAAGGTGATATCAAATGTGATATTAAAGAAGAGGAGAGAAAGCAAAAATCAAAAGAATGTCTGGAAATAGAAAATAAATTATTGTCATCATCAGATAGTTCAAGCGAAGCAGACAATGCTATACTTATTCAACAACATAATAATTTTGTTGAGGAACATTGTCAGGAAAAATCTCCATCAAATTCTAAATGTGCAAAGGTATCTGCTTTAAATGTTATTCCTTCAGCACTTGCATCTTCACTTGATCGTACAAATGACAGTGACAGAAAAGCTGCTTTTATCTTAACAGCAGCCATTCAAATGTATGGTGTCGGTGATATATCAAAACTAACAGTATCTTGCTGTAGCATTAGAAGAAGCCAAATGAAGCATAGTTTTCAACATTATGCTAACGTTAAGGAAGCCTTTAGTTTGGAGGGACTTTTGGTTCATATTGATGAAAAATTTTTGCCAGCAATTTCAGGTGGGCCCAAAAAAGTTGATTGTCAGACAATTCTAGTTTCCGGATTACGAACAGAAAAATCTTTGGCAATTCCTAAAGTGGCACAAAGGACTGGTGAGCTTATAGTAAATACAAAAATGGTTGCCATTTCTGATTAGAAATTGCAAAATCAAATAGTTGCAATTTCTTTTGACACTATGGCATCAAACATAGTTCGACTAAATGGTGTGTGCACAAATTTAGAAAGAAAACTTGAAAAAAATCTATTCTGGTTGGCATGTTGAAATCATGTGCATAAAGTTCTGTTTTGCGATGTCTTCGGGGCAGTTTTTGGTCCATCCTCTGGTCCAAATGTGTTGTTGTTTTGTCGATTTCAGGAATATTGGCTAAGCATAGACCAAGAAACATATACAGCCTGCACCGATCATCATTTAAATGAAGAACTTAAAGAATTGAAGAGAGAGGTAGTTGATTTTATTTTTGGAGTGTAAATAGAAAGACAGGAAATTTACCCAGAGAAGATTAACGTGAACTTTTAGAACTTATTTCGATCTTTCTTGGAGATGTTCCACCTCAAGGCATACGTTTCCAAGTTCCTGGTGCTTTTTACCACGCGAGGTAGATGTCTAAAATAATTTGTTTTAAAGGTTTTCTTATTTCAAACTCAATTTAAGCACACCAAACATGAAAGTTCAGGGTGCTTGGAATTTCGCTTGTTTGTTGCTCTTATCTATGTAAAAACATGATTAACCTGCTCATACTCATGCGATGCTCTATTCATTAATTTAAATCTCATAAAAGCATTAACAAAGTACAGTTCAACATCAAAAGTTATCTCAACAACTGCGTTGAAAGCAGTAAGTTGCCATTAATTGGTCTTGGAGAAGAACTAGCACTGCTCGGTCTGTTTTCTGATCTGGTGCCTGTTATGACAAAAAAACTTATGGTAGCAAAATTGTAAGATCAGATTGCAGACAAATCAAGAACTTGATTGTCGATCAATCCGATACACTGGAACTGAAGATCTGAGTGCAAAACCTCTGGAGTATTTCATTAGACCATCTTCACGTTTCTTTTTTGATGCCTTACAGTTAGACATGTCCTTTCTGAAGGAGGATGTTGAGAAGTGGTCATATTCCAAATTATCAGGCCACAAAGAAAACCGTTAAGGCACTAAAAGTTGTCAATGATAGTGCAGAAAGAGGAATTGCTCTAGCCACTGCATTTAATTCTACAATAACAAAACAAGAAGAACAAAAACAATGTTTGTTTCAAATGGTGGATAGTAACCAACAAAGATTTTCCAATCCAAAGAAATCAAAGTTACTTTCAGATGTTGTAACTGAACAGTTAATTGAACACATGGAACAGTGAAAATTGAACAGTTTTAATGGAAAAGTATTCGAATAAAACTTCCTTTTAATTTACTGTAAAGATATAACATTTATTGCATATTTTTTATGTTAATAAAAAAATTTAAATTTTTTTGAATATTCTTAAAAATTACTAAAAATGCTGAAATTTCGAGGTCAATGAGGCAATTCTAAATATTGTCAGGTGTTCTTCAAATTTTTTGTAGTGTATTTACGAAGCAAAATTTTGTTAGAAAGTAATATTTTTTGCTAGAAAGTAAAGGATGTCAGAATTAAAATGGTATTGTTGAAAGTATATTATTTTTAAAGCCTTGTTTTATAGGTTAGATAATCTTAGACTTGCTTTGTCCCCAAACCTGACAAGCATATCTAAGACGGGATCCAAAAATTGCATTATATAGTATGATATAGTAAGTAAAGTTTTATAATTGACATAGTGGCAAATTTTGGCTAGCATCCCATTTGATCGACACAATTTCACTGACAAGTTTTTAAGATAAGAGGAAAAGGATAGATTCAATTTGGATTCCAAGATATTTTAATGAAACTACAGGTAAGATTTTTTGGCCACTTAATCTAAAGTTTAGGTTTTTATACATTTTAGATTGACTTGATTTGAAAATAATGAGCTTAATTTTGTTGGTATTAAAACTTATTTTGTTAGAGCACAGCCATTGAAGAAGATCAGATAAAACATGATTAATATGTTTGTAAATGTTTTTTAATGATTTTTTTGTTATGAGTAAGGTGGTATTGTCAGCAAAATGGTAAGCTGTTGAATTTTTTTTTTATAAGATCATTTATAAAAATAAGGATAAGCAATGGTCCTAATACAGAACCTTGGGTACGCCTGTGAATCATTTTATTGGCAAAGATTTGGCATTATAGCTGGAGACAATTTGCAATCTATTAAGAAGATATTATAAAAACCATTGCAGAGTATAATCTCGAACACCATAGCATTCCAATTTACTTAGAAGGATGGAGTGATCAACAGAATCAAAGGCAAGTAACAATCCACATGCAAAAAATTACCCCTCCCCAAAAAAAAAAAAAAAAAAAAATGTCTGAATATATCTTTGAGATAATTTTAGGGATAATATTTTTTTTTGTGGTAACTTTGATTATGCTGTCAATGGTTGTTATTTGAGCCAATTTTGTGATAAATTTAACATCATTTTGTTTTAAATAAAATTTGTTATGTGTAAGTTTTGATATTTTATGGAACAAAACCAAACTGATTAACTTACATATTTATATATAAGTTAAAATTATTAGAATAAAATTTTTAAAAATGATTAAATTTTGATGAAAAGTTATTTAATATCATATTTAAAAAAATTGTTTAACTTAATGGTAAAAAAATAAATATTAAAATACAAATTTTTTAAAAACCATTAATATTTAATAAACATTTTTTTTTTAATGTTAACTTCCTTCCTAAAAACACTGGAAAATTCTAATATCAGTTTAAAAATTTTAATACCCGCAAAACCCTCAAGTTTCAATTCAATCATAAATTAGAAATAGCTTTTGCCTATTATGCAGTCCTTATGCTATGACCAAAGATTGAGCAAACTTAATGGTAATTTCATACAGCCATATGTTATATGTTATATGGCTGTATGAAATGTTCTTATAAATTTATGTTATGTTCATTTTATTGATAGGTTGAATTTAATTATTTATAGTTAGGCTTGTTAAAAGCCCTAAAATATGAGCATGCATATATTTTTATAGCTCTGATTTTTTCAAACTGTATGATATCTTTTAATTGGTTTAATTATTGTAACTTTTTTAAGTTTATATATTTCATTCTCTATCTGTATTTATATCATATTGTATTATTGTATTTTTATGTTGTTTTTTTTTTCTCAAATAGTTTATTTTCTCTATGTAGTTTAGTTTAATTATAGAGTTTCTTGGTTGCTATCATGACAGTAAAGAACCCAAGCTATTTAATTTTATATTTAATTATAGAGTTTCTTGGTTGCTATCATGACAGTAAAGAACCCAAGCTATTTAATTTTTCGCCTGGTGATTATCTTCCTTCAGATTTAACTCCTTTTTCTTGTATTGAAGCATGTGGAAAGCATGCGCATTTTGCTGGTGTTGAAGATGGAACAATTTGTTTATGTTCTAAGAAAAAACCTAAAAAATTTGATGACAATAATGATTGTTTAGTCCCCTGTAAAGCATACTTAAATAGCAATTTATCTTCAAGTTATTCTTGTGGTGGTAGAAACCGGCTTAGTGTGTATGATGTTAGAAAATACATATATGGTTTGCAGTTACATGTTCCAGATGTTGCTAAACTGTATTCTCCCGTAGAACTGGTTACTAGCATTGTCAATGGTATTGATATTAGTTACAAATTTTTTTCTACTAATGACAAAACATTGTATGCAGAGGATTTAAAAACATCCAAGTTTACTCACTACTTCACTAATACTGGTAATTTTGAGGTAAGCGTTTTACTTATGCATTTTCAAAATCTCTCTCTCTCTCTCTCTCTCTCTCTCTCTATATATATATATATATATATATATATATATATATATATATATATATATATATATATATATATATATATATATATATATATATATATATATATATATATATATGTATATATGTATATATATATATATATATATATATATATATATATATATATATATATATATATATATATATATATATATATATATATATATATATATATATATATATATATACACCCAGTCATAGTGATAAAAAACAGCTCTTTGCTTGTCTAAGGTATTTAGACTGACAAAATTGAGGTTAGATTATAACAAATCGCATTAATTAGATTATAACAAATTGCAATATATATATATATATATATATATATATATATATATATATATATATATATATATATATATATATATATATATATATATATATATATATATATATATATATAAATAGGTATAAATAGATGTAGATGCATACATTTACTGACTTTTTAACTTTTTTTAAATATTTTTATGCATTTAAATTTAGATTGTGGTGGAGGCAAGGAATAGTTTATCATTTGCTACGGCAAAAGCATTTGTTTCTGTAACTGATGAATATTCAGAAGGAAACATGTCATGTCACCATAATCAAAAGTTTGGTTTAGATGTTGAATGTTCTGGATATGTATTTAGGGGTTCACCTTTTATTTCATATTTTGATTTTGGTGATGGCCATGTGGAGCACATTGAGTCAAGTATTAATGTTTTAATAAACTTTATTAAATATATAATAACTATTAATTTCACTAATTTTTAAAAACATTTAGTAATGTTAAAGAAAATTTCAACAATTTTTAATTTTACAAAAATCTTAAGAACCTAAAAAGTTTTTTTTTTAATTCTTTATAGCAACTTTTAAAAAAAGTCCAAATTACATTTGGTTGTTTACAATCAAGTGAGTTTTCAATTTTGTTTAACCATTTAGATGTTTACAAGAAAATCTTGAACAAAACAATCGAAATACTTTATTTAGAAATATGATCCTAATAAAGAACATTTATCTTTTACTTTTAATTGTAATAAGATGTAGACAAAACCTCTTAAGACTGAAAAAGGGAAATAATAACTTGAAGTTAATCATACAACTTTGGCACGAGCTAGTCCTTGCTTTGCTAGATCTTTCTAATGAAACAAAAGTTATGGAGTTGCATATGGTTATTGGAATTACCTTTGGGAAATCTTATTGCTGCATTTAAAACATTCAATGCAGCCATTGGCCACCAATGCTTTGAAAATGTCCTTAACTCCTCCTATAGACCTTTTATTTTTTTAAGAGAGAATGCAAAGCTCTTAGAATTTCAACTACACTTAAAGTTCATACTTTCAAACACATACCAGAGTTTAATGATGATTAGGCTTCAAAGCATAACTTTGCCAGCAAAATTTCCTTTAATTCTGAAATTTTTAAAGAACTTTTAGAGTGAACAAGTATCAGACTAAGTTTCAAATCAATTAACTCTCTTAACAAATATTGTAAGCTTTATCAGGATGTTTCAAATCAATAACCCTCATAGCAAATATTGTAAAGCTTTATCAGGATGTTTCAAATCAATAACCCTCATAACAAATATTGTAAAGCTTTATCAGGATGTTTCATATCAGTAACCCTCTTAACAAATATTTTAAGGTGAACAGTTTTAAAGTCAAATCTGTTTAAATTGAAACTTAAGGGAAATAAAGTTGTTGTATATTGATAGCGACATTCACTCCTAACTTATTTCTTGTGTTGCAAGAGCAAATTACTCCATCATATTACTGAAATAAATTACTACATCCTGTTACATGAGCAATTTAAACAAATTACTTTTCAAATTTAAACTGACTAATATATATATATATATATATATATATATATATATATATATATATATATATATATATATATATATATATATATATATATATATATACATATATGTATATACATATATATATATATATATATATATATATATATATATATATATATATATATATATATATATATATATATATATATTCATGTGGTAAAATAAATATAGTTCTACAAATATAGTTAACATAATGCATAAATAATTTTTTGATTTTGTTAATGCTAATTAATTTTTTTCCTTAAATTATTAATGAAGAAATTATTTTTTAGGTGTGACATTTTCTTATATTGGAGATATAGTTTCAACTAACTTACAATCATCCAGCCTGAAGAATGCAGAGGTTCTAACTAAATCATTTACTGTTGTATTTCCGAGAACAGAGTTTTTTGAGGAAAGTCGTATATCAGCATTTGAATTTGAAGCATTTGAGATTGGAATTATATATTTGCAGGTTTATATATTTGTATTTTATTTTTATTATAAAACTTTTTATTAACATGAAAATGAAAAGTTTATCTTTTGCCTGTTAAAATGTTAAAAATGAAGTTACCACACTTACAATTTAAGCCATATAGTAAGGTATCATCTACAAAAGTGTGTCAAAAAATGTTTTTAAAATACAAATTAAAAGTCAAATTAATAAAATTAACATTTATGTAACATATTAAACTCTTGCTTCCATAAACCTATACTAAAAAATTATTATTTTTATTACAATTATTTAAACTAAGCTTTGCTTTTTACAATATTGACATTAGCTTTTTACAATCTTAACATTTTTTAAAATCATAAGTTTATATAGGAGTATATAAATTTATTATTTAAAAAAATGGTTCAATCATCATCATCATCATCATCATCATCATCATCATCATCATCATCATCATCATCATCATCATCATCATCATCATCATCATCATCATTATCATCATCATCATCATCATCATCATCATCATCATCATCATCATCATCATCATCATCATCATCATCATCATCATCATCATCAACATCATTATCATCATCAACAACATCATCATCAGCAGCAGCATTATCAGAAGCACTAACATCATCATCATCATCACCATCATTATTTTACAACTTTTTTTTCTGCACAATGCAAGGCTTTTTAGCTTCTATATATTTTCTGTAATGAAGTCAAAAGAAGTGTTTTTTTGGCCATTCAAAAGACTCTGCACAATTAACTACATTTTCCAGCATGACTAAATATTGCACACTTTAAATCAAATGCATCAGAAAATGGCTAATATTTTGAAGATTGAGAAGATTAAACAGTTTTCCAAAATTTCCATTTTATTCTGATAATGATCTACATCACATGACCTTGAATATTTTTTTAAGTAGTTATAACATGAATAAATTGATATGCTTTACATAAACCATTGATTTGTTTGCTATTTCACCAGTTTCCAAAAACTCTTCTTAGGGTGAAAAATATCTAAGACTTAAAATATAAGACTTTTTCTAAATATAGAACACATTATTGGTTTGACATTGGGGTAGTTGTTCCAACTAGAATTGCTGTATTAAGTAAATTTTCCCAGTTTAAACTCCATTTAAGAGAATAATGACTGACTAAACAACTTCACAACATTTCAAGCATATCCATTACTTTACCTCAGAAATAATGTACTTTCATATAGTCTAAGATATTAGAATTTATATTTAAAAAAAAAGATTTTCCAACATTTAGGTGAGTGATGCCTACTTTTTAGGGCATTTTTATTCCCATTCCTTTTTAGGGTATTTTTATTCATCATTTTTTGTTGAAAATGGCAGAAAACTAAAAATTGTTCTTTTGTTTTTTTATTTTAATTTTTATACATTTTCCAACTGCAAGGACACAGTGGGCAAAAATTATTATTAGCTGGATAAAAGTAATAACTTTTAAAATAAGTAATAGATTTTCCTTATTATTACCAGGTCGAGTACTTTTTATACTATGAGTCTAGTGGCACAAGTGGATTGTTTATTTGGTTGCTAGATACCTAAAAAGCATAACAATATTTTATCTAGTTACTAAGTGTAAGAGGCTTTATCAAAACGCAAAATAACATGTAACATTTGACACCATACTGATATCAAGTTCAAGAGTCTTAGCAGTCTCTAGATTCTGAAAAAATTTTTTTGCAGTTTTTTTATTATTTAATGAAACAGAGCAACCAGACATTGGCATGTTAATTAAACAGTTTATACTCATGAACATAATGACATGAATGGTAATGAACTTAATGAGTCATCTACCCTTATAATGAACTTAATGAGTCATCTACCCTTCATCTTCTAGGATTAACTCTTATTTTCTATTTTTTTTGGAAACCAAATCTCATTCTAAATTAGCATCTGCTAAGGTTGCTTCTCTTTATCGTGCTCGCCACTATCTTACTCAGGATTTTATTTGTTATATCAAATAAACAAAAATCTCAAAATCCATCCTTGTATGGAATACTGTTGCCATATCTAAGGTGGATCTTCCAATGATGCCCTTTCTCTTTTAGGTGTCTGCCAGATAAGGGAAATCAGGGAAAACAGGAAAAGTCAGGGAATTCAGATATTTGCAAAAAAATCAGGGGATTATCATGGAAATTAGGTTAAATTTTAGAATAATCAGGGAGAAATCAGGGAAAATGGCTCTTCATCAAACTTACATAACTTAAATAAGTTGTATATGGTGCACGTAATATAAAAGTTTATTTGGCGATAATTTTGTTAACTTCTCTTGATACATTTAATGTGGGTTGTATTATTGTTTATATTTTTGCAGTTGAAGAGCATTTTTCTAAACAAATACAGGTCAATTTTTGTAAAGTTGAGTTTGGGTAACTTTAAATTAAATCAGGGAAAACAGGTAGAACATCAGGAAAATATCAGGGAAAAGTCAGGGAAACCCACCTTAAAATATTGGTTGACACCCTGGTTGACAACAAGTTTTCAATAGAATTTTTAATAAATAGATTATCTCGTTTTAAAACTTCAACAGTTTCTTTTGTAAATGAGACTTTTTTTGGTCTACAATATAAGTTTGATGATGGATATGGATTCGACCAAAGAATTTTTATTTTGCCATTAATGTGACCAAATAACTGAAGTGGAACAAAACAAGAAAGAAATAAACTGGTTTCTTCTAAGAGATTTTTGTTTTCTTTCTCAACAGTTGGCTAAGTGTAAATGCTTTGTTCAGTTGATCTATCACATTAAGTTTTTGAATGTAATGTCAGTTTCTAAAGGTCATTCATAATTGTTAACTTGTTTATGCAACTGTACTATTACTGCTTAATTGAATAATGCTTAAAAGTGACTATTTGTTAGAAAATTTCAGTAACATACCACAATGTTCATTCTAAAAAATATTATTCCAGAAAAAACATTGCATGCAGGATAAGTATTAAAACCTTTATTAATAGCATTATTTCTCAAATATTGGTCAGGCTTGCTCATGTTCTAATCATAGCCTACTATAATTACATTGCCGGATATCTTGCTTTTTGGAGCAAACGATCAGAAGGGTAACTATTGGAAATTCTTAAATGTCTTTTAAAATTTTTTTAAAAAATATTTATAATATGGTTAATACATGTGCTACAGTTTACTAAAAAACAGGATATAAAAAGAGAGAGAATCAAATTGATTTTGTCTCAAAAAAGCATCCATTTTTTGGATTTCTGGAAAAAAAATCTTGACTTAATTAAACATTGGGTAGTATTTATTAATCATAAGTTATGGGAGCTATAAATTCGGTTGTTTGTGCTAAACATTCTGAAGAAAAATATTTAAAAATTTACAAAAAAGTAACATTAGTTTGGGATTAAAATACTGTTCCAACTATTTATTGAGTTGTTTAACTATTTGAATTATTCAACTGAAAAAATACCATCAGTATATCCAACTGAATTGAAAGATAGAGACCATCTGTCACCATAGAGACCATCTGTCATCCATCAAATAATCAGGATGAATCCAGTATATTTATAGAAAAAAAAAAAAAATCACTGTTTAAATGATTTAAATAGTTTTAACCTTTAAGGGTATCAGATCAAAATATATAATGACAAATATATATATATTTCAAGTTCGAAATTAATCAACACTTAGATATTTTAGAAGTTACAGAAACAATTGTATTTGATGAATTTATGCATGTTTCTTTGCACTCTAAATCATCTTATGTTCTGTTGCATCCATGGTTTCAAAATGTTGTCTGTGTATTGGAGAAAAAAACAGTGTATTAGAGAATTTTTCAGCCTATATAAAAAAATACTTAAAAGAAAATAGTTTGTCAATTGATTTAATAACTAAACTCAATAAAATAAAATACAAAAAACCAGTTGATTGGCCAAAGTTTTTATATGATATTCCCTTATTCTTCAATATACATCAGCACAGACTCGTTAATTCTTATTAGAACAGTTTCCTCTACCATTGGGGTAAAACCATTGAAATCTTTAAAATGTTTATTAAACCAAGGTAAAATTGATAAAGATTTTGTGCTACTCATGGGTGAAATATATTTGCAGAAAGAAGCACAATATCAAGGTGGTAGAATGACCATGTTGTTGAGTGCATTACATCTCTACCACTTGCTTTTGCAATATTTGATCCTACAACTTCTGCAGGTATTGAAAGTTATTTTCTAGATAGGATTGATGCCTCAAGTTTTTTTAAGTTGATAAATACATGGTGGACAATAAGTAACAGTAAGCAAAAATATAACAATAATTTTTGAATTGGAAATGCAGCTGTTTTGGGTGACATGAAGCTTTCATTTTTGAGGAAATTAGCTGAATGGATTGAAGATTGGCAATTATCTCAAGTTTCAAATTCTCAAATGTTTACATTAAGTAAACAAAAATTGGAAGCTTTAAGGACTTCTTTAGATGCGCAGTTTTACTTATTGATGATTTAATTCAAAAAGATTATCTTAATTTTTTAGCATAACACTTGCAAACTGATCGATTAGGCCAAAGATTTTCAAAGTATTGTCAAATGAGTGGTGGTAGATTTTTAATTGGTTTGTTTGAACTTGTAACCTCTGAGCAAATATTAACTGTGAAAACTTTACTTAAAGAGTCAGTCAATATCTGAGAGGAAGATGGTAGAAAAGAGTTTGTAATATATTTTTACTTGATGATAATTATTTTGATGTAATATATTTTTACTTGATAAAATTATTTGATGATAAATTTTTTTCTAAAAATTTATGAATGCAGTTTAGATTCAGAGAACTTTGAAGTTATTTCTACAGTTCTTTCTGGTCAATTTTTTTGTTGTTAAAAAGTTTAATAGGAAGATCAATTGTTTTATTTGCAAAACTTTTCTATTAGCTGAATCTGGTGAGCTATATTAGATACTGCCAATTTGCTTATAAGAGACTCAACTCTATGTGATCTTAGTGTACTCAACTCTATGTGATCTTAGTGTACTTTGATTAAATGATTGTGCAACTTCATTCTTATGTGATGAACATCAAATTATTGGTGTAATATTTGTAAATTTGTTACAAATATTTATTTTAACTATAAGCGGAAAAAATTTTCTGATTTATTAGGTCTGAGGCGGTGTTAAAGACTTATACAGGAGAGCTTGTTGACGTGGAGACAATGTTGCAGTTAATATAATTATATTATTATTAACCCTAAACAATCACTAAACAATTCTAGAAATTTCTTTTCAAATTAAACTAAAATTAAATTTTAGTTTAATTTAACTTAAACTTTATCAAATCTAAATATTTGATAAATATTTTAACTCAAGATAACTTTAAAAAATGAACTTTAGTTATATCCAAATTCTTTTTATATCTAGATTAACATTCTTTAAACCCTCAACAAAATATTCAAAGAATAATGAAAATTTATTGCTGCTCTAACTAATTCCCTAAGTCGATGTAGCAGCAACTTACTTGCATATTCTAACTAAATCAGTCAATGTATATACTGAATCCCAAAGAACAGTGAAATCCAAAGAACAGTGTAAAGGATTTTAAATGCAGACAAAGAAAAAAATTGAAGCTGAGTTAATTGAATTAAGCTCAATTGAATTGAAATAATTAATGCTAAATTATAATATATGAATATACCTAAATACTATAATGTTTATTCTTCCTTTATTGTTCCTTTTTTGTTTATCATTTTATATATCTTGTTAACATTATTGAGATGTTCTTTTTGAGAAATATATACATTTATACACACAATATGAGGTACATCTTAAAGTTAATAAAGTCATTATAAATTTTAATATTTTATTATTTAATAAAGCTATTACAATTTTTTATTGACAACAAAGTACAATATAATATTCTCTTATTTCAGCATGGATGTTTTTTTAAAAACATCATCAGGCAAAGTAAAGTGTCAAACTTATCAGACTTTTTTCATATTTGTCAAACAAATTTTATATTATATACACAAAAATTATAGTTTTAATTGCGGTAAGTGTGGCCAATTATGCTATACAATATAATTTTGGTTTGAAAAGTTACCCTTAAGCTAGATATCCGGCTGTGTAATTTTAGCGTTGATCTAATAATAAGTGGTAAAGCTTTATTGAGAGTGGTTTGACCATGAATGAAAAGGATGTTTTAGGTATAAATTTAGGTATGAATTTGTCTACCACTAGCTGTTGATTTTGTTTAATTATACAATAAAAACTGATTTATAAAAACTATTATTAAACAATGCTGTCTTATGAGTTGATAAACTTGATTTTCTGTTGACATCTTGTTATTAATAAAAATATGTCTTAAAAGAATTTAAAAGTTAAAGAAATACTTTATTTTGCAATTCATTTTTATAAATAATTACTTCAAAACGTTATAGAAATAAAGTAATGCACATAAATATGTATTTTATAACATTAAAAGAAAAAAAAACTTCTTTCACTCTAATGCAAGAAGCAAAAAATGTTGCAGATACTACCAGCAAGATAAAAAATTTTATTAAAGCATATGTTTATATCCTTCAGAATATGCATAAGAAATGACGGCATAACAAAAGTAATATTTCCTTGTTGTTCATTCAAAAATGTTAGATAAAAAAAACAGTTTCTTCAAAAATTATATTTTATTTACTTTAAGGTTTTTTTGCAAAAACTTTAACACATGATATTTTGTTAAGATTTTTTTTTTTTTGATATGGTCCACAATATATATCTTAAAATTTTCAAAAAAGTTTGGATTTTTAAAACATAGATAGAATGCACAATGTTTTTTTGATTTTTATAGTTTTTCCCGTCTATTGTGCGAATGTATACTGGAGGTTTTTGCTAATCAAATTTTTATTATAAATTTTATGAAATTTTTAACTTTACCTTTTTTAAATTTTTTTTATTTTTAACTAAATTGTAAGTGTAGGCTGAAATAACTAATATATTGCCATATAAGTGTTTCACAAATCAACTTGCCACTGCATCTTTTTTACTATTACTAAATATTTATTTTCATATATGTAGCTACATACAAGTTTGATGTAGAGAGAAATCTAACTTGGTGGCTACTCTGGGGCCCAGTGTTTTAATTTTTTTAAATTTAAATTTTAAAATTCAAATGAAATTTTGTTAAGTATCTTGTAATAATTTTTAATACTATGTTTTTTAAATAAATTTCTTTTTAGATTTTTAGACCAAAATGTTTGCCTAATGAAGTTTATTGTTCTAATGAGAACCAATGTCAACCGGCAACAATGCCTTGTCAAAAATATAATGAAAAATCATGTAAACTCGATGAGGTGTTTTGTCTTCTTAAAGGGAGATGTATGCCTAATGTTAACTACAGGTGTGATGAAGAAGAGCAGCCAATAGTTAAAGCACCAATCAATTTTGTACTCATTGAACAGTTACGTTATAATATTACTGAAACTGGGCGTACAATGGTTGCACTGGAGAATATTATTCTAGCAAATGAAGGGGATGTATTTGGGTATACTTCCTATGGCGGAAAAATTCTCTATGAAAATTATACAAATACAAAAGCCCACTATGAGTTTGTTTTTCCTTCATCAGTTTCACTAAACAGTGTTTTTGTTTCTACAGAGTCGACTATTGTTCATTACCAACATTTGTACAAAGTTCATTACATCAAACCGTTTAAGTTCTATCTACAACATAAGTATTCTCTTCCCAAAACTTATTTAGTAACTTCAAACATATCAGCACCTCTTATGGTATCTGTTCAAATTCCTGTTGATAAATTGAACATTCAATGTCCTAGAAATGTGCTTACAAACCAAGAATTTCTTTTAACTTTAAATGTTGACAAGGGCACAAACTTAACATACAATATTGATTTTGGAAATGGAACTCAATATATTGGTATAAGTTCACAGTTTAATTGTTCTTTTACAAAGTCTGGGTTTTATAGAATAAATGCATCAGTTTTTAACTTAGTATCACTTGAATCAGACAGCGTATTAGTAAAAATATTTGACGACATTTCTGGGCTTTCTTTTGAAAGTTTTATAAAACCAGTTGCACTTGGTGAGGAAACTTTAGTTAGCTGGTGCTTAAAAATAGGGACAAACGTAACATTTATTATTGATTTTGGGGATGATAGTTCAAATGAAGTATTTGATTTTTCATCAAAAAGATGTCACTCTGTTAAACACATTTTTAAGAATAATGGAAGCTTTACAGTTATGATCAGTGCAAAAAATGACATGATTAATACTAGTGTGATACAAGGAACTGCATTAGTTGAAGTTCCTTTAAAAAATTTAACAGTTGCAGTTCATCATAATTTTGTTACAAATAATGTTTATTTAGATCTTGGTGAGCCACTTCATATAGAAGCACAGTTAGCAGAGGGAAGCAATGTAGTCTGCAGGTATGATTTCAATGGCTCAGTCAATCCCATAGAACTATCAAACACTGTTGCAAAATATTTGTTTGCAAAGGAAGGAAAATATTCAGTTTCAGTGGAGTGCTTTAATTCCATTTCCAAAATTCAAACAAATTTAACTATGATAATAATTGTGGAAAAGCTTGCTGTTCTCTCTGATCTACAAGTTAATGTCAATAATACAATATTAGGGGAGTTTTCTTATGTTAGTGCTACCATGGCTACTGGAAGTCTTTACATTTGCAAATGGGATCTTGGAAATAGTCTAGAAAAAAAAGTAGACAAATCAACATTTCGAGATATCATTGCGCTAAAATATAATCATGTTGGAAATTATACAATAAGACTTACTTGCTGGAATTCCAAAGGTTCTGTTGTTGCAACTAAAATATTTTCTGTTGATGTACCTATATCAAATTTGAAGTTGTTTTGCCCACCAAAATATATTAATGTGTCTGAAAAAGCCCTATTTCAAATTCAAGTTGTTAATGGGTCTCGTCTAACACATGAAGTTATCTTTGGTGATGGAAATAAACAAATTATTTCTGTTTTACAAACTGACTCTACCAAATCTGATGTCTACCATTTGTTTAAAAAACCTGGTATGTATGAGGTAACTTTAAAAACCTGGAATTCTCTAGATGTTATTGGTACTTCTTGTCCCTATTTTGTTCATGTTCAATGTCCTATTTCTTCAGTTAATATATCATCAAATAGTCCAATAAGACTTGACCCTGGTAACGCTATTTTTAAAGCAGAAGGTCCTTCTGATTGTTTTCCTACTAATGCATCTGTAAAATGGAATTTTGGTGACGGATCATTAATCCAAACAAAACCATTAATCTCGTATGGTGTAGTCAATACATACACATACTTATCATCTGGAAAATATGCAGTGGTGGTTATTATCCAAAATCAAGTTAGTAAAATGGTTTTGGAATTAGTTGTTGATGTGCAGGAAATAAAATCAGTATTTTTAAGTATTTATTGGATTGATACAAATAGACTGGTCCGTGGCAATGAAAACAAATACTATCCTTTAGATAAGAAGTTGTACTTTAATATTACCTCACAGGATAAGGATATAGCATACACATTCAATTTAGACAACTCCCTACAGCCAAAACTGTTGTTTGTAAATTACATTGAACATGTTTATTTTGAACCTGGCACATATCTCATTAGTTGCATTGTGCATAATACACTTGGTATTTTTAAGGATGAAAAAGAGATTGTGGTTCAGGAGAGTATTCTTGGGATGAAAGTAAATATAACATCATCAGTAAATTTTGGAGATCCTATTGTCATAAAAACTCATGCTATTCAATATGGTTCTCAAGTATGCGGCATCATTGATTTTGGAAATGGTGTGTCCTATAAAATAAATAAAAACTATTGTAATGAAAATCTTGAAAATAATTCAAAGGAAATCTTATATTATTTTACAGATGGCGTTCCATTGAATTTGTCTTACATATACCACACCAAAGGAGTTCATAAAGTTCTTGTAAATTTTTATAACAAAGTGAGTTCCTACTTGTACAATGCTCAAGTGAATGTTATTTATAGACCATGTGATGATCCGCAAGTTTTAATTTTGTCTGGAGGTAGTCTTAAGCAACCAGTTCCATCACCTCGTACTTCGAGGCTTACTATTCAATCAAATGTTTCTCTTATATGTTCTGTTGCAGAAAATGTTATATTTTCTTGGTTTTTGTTTGACAGATTTAACAAAGTACTTGTTTCAGAGAATTTTACTGCTAAGATGCCATTTCATAGAATTCCTGGAAAACATGATCCAAGTATTTTTAAAATTGAAGAAAATAGTGTGCCATATGGTCTCATCAGAATTGAGCTACTTGTGGTGTACAAAAGTGCTGAAGAAAACCTTAGTTATATAAACTCGAAGGATTTCAAATATTTTGAAATTCAATATTCACGTCTGCTTACAAAAATTGAGGGTATGACATTTATAAATATTCATATGCTTGATATTCTTAAATAAAACTTAAAAATTTACAAAAGGACAAAACTATTGATTGAATAATGATGGTATTGAAAAAGCATTAGGTATTTAAGTATAAAATGTTCTTGAATAATAAATATTTTCAATAAAAGCTTTAAACTTCCTTATTTTTTAAAATATCAATTGTATATGATGTTTTTCACATAATAAACTTATACTTCTGGTGCAAACATATGTAAAACAAAAAAAAAATAGTTTGATGTTGTTATTGCTTACAAAAAACATTTTAGTATTTATAAATAATATTTATAATAAATAATAAAAAATATAATTAAGTGAGTATTTTATGTCTAGTTTGAGTCTTTTTAGTAAATATGGTTTTTGATAAACTCATTTTGTTTAATCAGATTTGTAAAAGCAGAATTTAAAAAAAAAAAATTTGGTTTGGGATAGGCTGGGGTGGGGTATTTTGGGGAGTATTTTACCATAAAATAACATTTTTTTTAATGGTTTAGTTTTTTTTAACAATGTTTTAGGCGGAATACGAAGAGCAGTTGGTTTTATGACAGATCTGGAATTTGATGCATCAGAATCATTTGATCCAGATTTTTTACTTTTGGAAAATCAGGACGATATGAACTTCACTTGGTATTGTAGACGAAAAGAAGAGGAGTTTCCTTTTGATTATGAATACTCATCTGCTACTTTGAATAAAACTTCTGGCTGCTATAAAAATGGTCTGTATCGTTTAGATAAAAGTATTGGAGGTTTTAAAGTGTTAAATGAAGATGCAAGCAAAATATCAGTAAGTTTTATCAACAGGTTTTATATGTACAAAATAAGTTAATTTTATCAATGCAAGTTAGACATTTTTATAATCAAATACTGTCTGAATAAAAAATTTATTTGTGGCAAAATAAAATTTATTTGAAAAATTTTAATTAAAAGGATGTTCTTCTGACTGGCCTTTTGCCAAGACCATCTTTAGAGTATTTTTGTAAAAATATACTTATAACTTTAGATATTCACTGATTTGGTACAAAATGCTTCATATGTTATGCGTGTTGTAGTTACCAAAGATACCAGAAAAAACTTCTATGACCAAGAGTTCATCATATATCTTAATCAACCACCGTCACTTTTTATATAGTATGTTTATATAGTATAGAGGTTTTGCTCAAAATCATAATCTTGAAAATCATTTTTTTTTTACATTATAAATTTTGTTAAATGATGCCTTACATATATATATATATATATATATATATATATATATATATATATATATATATATATATATATATATATATATATATATATATATATATATATATATATATATATATATATATATACATATATATAAATACATATACATATATATAAATATATACATATATAAATATATGTGGGTGTGTACATATGTATATATATATATTCATATATTTATATATGCGGTTAGTGTAGTATAAATGTAATATAAATTTTTTTTAGCTGTTCATACAACTGTTATGAAAAGACAATCCCATCTGAACCATTGCGTGTGCAAAGTGTCTGTGCGAATTGCAGGAATGCTCTTCACGTATTATACACCTGGCGTTTGTATGAAATTATAGATAAAGTCAACAAAAGAGGGAGATTAGTGAGCGAAGAAATTGAAATAACTGATCTTGCATTAAAAACAACAACTCCCATAAATAACCCAAACATTGCATTAAAACCAAATGTTATGAAGTTGGGAAATAAATATGTATTAAGGGTTGCAGCATGTAGGGCAGACGCAGATGATGGTTTGTTACTTTTTTCAAATTAAAATTAGTTCTGTTATATAAAAAAGTGTGTGTATGTTTTTGTATATATATATATATATATATATATATATATATATATATATATATATATATATATATAACCTTCAGAATTAGGGTTGGCATTCGGCAATGCTGACTTAACTGCCAACCTGTAAGTGTTAGAAGTCAGCAAAAAATTGCTGACCTCGTTTTTATATTTTATAGTCAGACCTTTGTATCAAATAATTTTTGACGACTTGATGCGACCTCAAAAAGATTAAGGTTTGCAAATTATTGACGACCTCATTTTTCCTAATTCTGAGGGTTGATATATATATATATATATATATATATATATATATATATATATATATATATATATATATATATATATATATATATATATGTATATATATATATATATATATATATATATATATATATATATATATATATATATAAATTTTATTTGTTTAGAGTTATCTGGATTTAGTGATTTTGTTTTTACTGTTAATCAACCACCATATGGTGGGTTTTGTCAAATAAATCCAAACACTGGTGTAACATTATATACAATGTTTGAAATTAAATGTGATCAATGGAATGATGAAGATACACCTCTCTTATATGTTGTGGGTATGAAATTGTATTACATTTTTGTTGTTTCATCATCATCATCATCATCATCATCATCATCATCATCATCATCATCATCATCATCATCATCATCATCATCATCATCATCATCATCATCATCATCATCATCATCATCGTCATGATCATCATCATCATCATCATCATTATCATCATTAACATCATTGTTATCATTATTGTCATCATTTTTATCATTGTCATCATCATCATTATCATAATCATTATTATTGCTATCATCATTTATTTTTTATAATTTATTTACAGTATAAATAAAATTCAGCAGAACTTCCTTAAATAGAAATTTATGCAAATCCTGCAGGTTAGAATTTCAGAATTCTTACTATTGTAGTAATAGTATTATTGGTATAGTAGTAATATGTACTATTATTATATTAGTATTAAAATTAATTGCTATTTATATAATATTATATAATATTGCTAATAATATTAGTATAATATTATATAATATTGCTAACAATATTAATATAATATATAATATTACTACTAATAATATAATATTATGTAATATTGCTAATAATAGTTAGTTAATTAAGTTACACAAAGCCACAGCCTTGTTAAACTCATCATCAGCTGAGTATACGCATCTATACCCAACTTGTATGTCAGCTACTTTTGTGTGGAATTTACGGTAATTGATGAGCTGTAGTAACTACGATGACTGAAAACTGTCTAGTAGTTGTTTAAATTTATCAACTGATGTTGCCTCGATGACTTTATTAGGCAAAGCATTCCAGCCATTGACTACATGGTTATTAAAAAACTTATGTCTGATTTCACAGTTCCTGACAATCTTGCCATGAAATCTGATTCGATGTTGAGCTCTGGGTGCTATGCTGCAAGGCATTAAGTGCCAATCAATTAGGTTTAAATTGTTGAGAAGCTTATATTTTTAAATAAGATTGCCTCTTTTTCCATCTGTCTTCAAGAGTGGTTAATTTCATAATTTTACATCGAGTTTTGTAGTCTTTATTTTAATATTTTTAATATTGCTAATAATATTTATATAATATTATATAATATTGCTAATAATAATTATATAATATTGGTATAGTAGTATTATATATTATTGTATTAATATTGCTAATAATAGTATAATAGTATAGTATTATAATATATAGTATGTTAAATAGTTATATAGTATTAATATAGATTATTATTTTGTTTCAAAAGTTTACCAAAAGTGTTTTTAAATTTATAATTTTTTTTGAAACACTCAAGTCAGATCATCAAGTTAGATACTTGATGGTGGATCATCAAAAAGTGATACAAAAAGTTTTTGTTTTTTAAAAATACTTTGCCTTAAAGTTTGAAATATTGAATGAGATTGCATCTGGTTCTGCAAGATTTTTAATCCAACATTGCCCAAAGTTTCTTTTTTTTGTTGACAAATGTTTGCTTGATTTTTTTTGTGTCCAAGTAGTACAAGAAGCTTTCTGTTAAATTTTTTTAATTTTTTTTGTTTAACTTTCTGTAGCTAGATTCCAAACATTTGCACAAAAGTTTAATTCCAGTCTGAGTTAAGTTAATCTAATCTCAAATGCAATATAAAAAGACTCAAACAATTCCAGTGCAGAGCAACTAAAGTGCAGAGCAACTCAAGTAATTACTGAGCTCAAACACTTTTCTCACAAAGAAAGACTCAACATTCTTGAATTAACCACTCTGAAAACCAGAAGAAGACCCGGAAATCCTATACAAAAGTATAGGATTTCCGTAACAATAAATTGTTTTAAAAAAGTTGACTTCTTCACTCTATAAATAAAACTGCTCATTAATTTCAAGACTAAAGCAATTTCATTTTTTCAAAAATTTAGTTTTTGAAAACATTGCGATGTTTTTAAAATTATACAGTTAAAGAAATTAATTAATAAAAATAGAATTAACACTTAACACTCTTACCGAGTCCTCTATTTTAACTCTTTGTCTTTGTACTTGCCATTTCCTTACTCCTTCCTTTCTATATCTCAGTTGACTTATTTGTTCCAGTATGGAATAAAGTTTGTCATATTTAGCCTGGTCCTTCTAATCATGCCCTTTCTTTTCTAGACAAGGTCTGAAAATACATCTTAAATTTCTTAATCTCTTCTAACTGCCAAACTTGAGTCTCTACCACATTGTCTTAAAGTTGGATCCTTTGGATTAAAGTTGGATCCTTTGGATTGGATTCTCTTTTCTGCAAATTCTATGATTGCTGTTCAAATGAGCTTCCATCTTGTTCTATCTCTTGTTTCATCAACCAAAACTTTGTTTTGCATGACCTGTCATTCAACAAAGGTACAAAAGACTCAAAAGACCTTGTGTAATTACAAGTCATACAAGATTTTTGTTTCGTACATTTCAAGATTTATGAAGTGACCATGGTAGTATTTGTAGAAAAGAGAAAGTGGTGCAACCTTACAACAATGGGCAGCTGGAGCATAGTACACTTTGTTTACAAATTTGTTTTTAAACCTTGTCGAGAAGAAAAATAGGATCATTAGAAGAAATAACATGACAACAGAAATAACATGACAACAGAAATAACATGACAACAGAAATAACATGACAACAGAAATAACATGACAACAGAATTCTATACAGAGACAGTTTAGAAATTTGCATCCTTTTTCTGCCTGTATCAACATGCTCTAAAAACTTTTAATCATCTATTTTTTTTTAATGTTATGTAACTCTCTCCTGTTTTTATGTTTTTTCAACTTAAACAGAGTACAGTTTTTTAAGTTTTCTGTTAACCGTCTTCTTGCTCTTTAATTGTATTCTTTATTTTCTAGTAACTCCCAACTTAAATGATGCTGGAAGTCTTATTAATTAAAAATAATTTTAAGAAGTTTTCAAATCAGATAAGACAAAAACAACTCAATCAACCTGCAAAATTAGCCTCATATCAAAATGGTTTCAAACATGGAAAATGTCTTTAAATGAGAGTAAATGTAAAGTAGTTCTTATTTGTAAATCAAATTACAAGTTTTACTATCAGGTAAATGTGCGTTAATTATCAAAATGTGCATTAATTATTATATTAATGTGCATTAATTATTAAAAAAAGAGTTTAAGAGAGAGACTTAGGAATGATCATCATCAAATCAACTCGCATATTGAATAAGCTTAAAATCTCTTGCAAATACCTTGAAATCAACACTTTTGAGATGCTCTTCACATCAATGGTGTCTATCTAAAGTAATGTGCCATATGAAATCCAAATTAAAAAAAATAACATCAAAGTGATTAAGGTGGCCTAGAGAAGAGCAACTAAACTAATACAAGAAGTTAGTGATAAAACATTTGAGGAGTGGATGCGCTGCTTTGGTTTAAATACACTGGAAGAAAGAAAAATAAGAAGAGACTAAGTTCAACAATTCAAAATAAAAACTGAATAAAATAAAATAAACTTTTCTTCAAGTTTAATCTAAGAAAAACACGACTGTGCCTGAAAACAACAAAACCTCCTAATAAAAGTATGATCCTTATGCAAAACAAGTTTTATGCCTGGTTCAACAACTTCTCAAACAGGATAGTCAAACGATAGAATCAATTGTCAAAACTTTTTATTTAGCTATTTGTAGTTAATGATTGTTTAACAATTTTAGTGAATTTAAATTTACTGAATGCAAAGAGAAACCCAATAAAAGCATTAAATTCCTGGTTTGCAGAGCATAAATCAATCTATTGATTTAAGTGAATTTATGATTTATTAGTGAAACCATGTTGTTTTTCAGCAATTAAGTTAGGTGAATATTTGTAAAGTGTTACGTTGTCTTTGAAGACGACCATTGGTTGATTATTTGTTGGGTTATTTTTTTTTTTAGAACATGTTTTTTAATTTTATTTTAAATGAACTCTCAATAAGACTGGAAGGAATCATTATTTATGCTAGGATTTAACAGAAAGATAAGAAATGAGTTAACGAGCAAGTAAGCAGTCGTTAGTGACAAGTTATCAGTCGGTAGAAAACTTATAAAACTAATATGTTTCAGGTAAACATAATGGCAGGAGAGAATTCTGAAGTTTGAGACAAAAAACTAGATGAATTAAAGTTTTTTGATCATGAAGAAACAATTGCAGTTAAAGGATGTGGCTTTGCTAAATAATAATACTAAATAAAAAGTTTTGATTGTTGGAACAAATTTATAGAAGAGAAAAAGAGTTTGGAGAAGAGAAGAAGAGTTTGGAGAAAAGAGGAAGCAACATTAAGATAATTGAATAGTGACTCAAGCCTGGCAATTGAAGCAGATCTAATTACATTTACAATGCCAATGGTCTAAATGAAAGAGAACCTCATTAAAAAAACAAGCCAAAATACCAAAATTGTGTTTCATACAAGTATGAATAAGAGATTTTTAGAGATAGAGGAATTAAAAGTAAAGAAATGTCAAGAACAATAAAGAGAGCATATGATAAGATTGCTTATCATATGCTAACTTATCATAACTAAACATAATTTGTTGATAATTGATTTTTTAAGTCATAAACAGGTTTTTTTAATTAATTTTTTAATTCTATTGCATTTTGATTATATTTGGTTAAAATCTTTGTTATTATAAGATGGTTTTGAAGCGATTTCATAAGAAAATATTTTCTATAAATTAGCTGCTTTTTCATATCATTTCTGCTCAATTTTATTGATATTTAGTTTGTTTTATTAACATTTATATAGATTTTACACTTTACATTTACATTTTAAATTTTTGGTATATGAGTATCAAGTTGGTGTTTATAAATTTTAATCTTCTTTTATTTGATTGGTGTTTTGTCTCTTGAATAGTTTAGTAAATTTAATTCTATTTTTTTTATATGTTATGCAAGTCATGAGGTAAATATTAAATGCTTAATTTACCTGAACAATTTTTTCAGGTAAATTCAACAATTCTTTGTTGATGTCACTATTTATTATTATTATGTCAATATTATTTATATTATGGTATTGTCATTACTTACTAAGCACAATTATTAATTATTAATTA